CCTTGTGGTTTCCTTTCTGAACTCTTACTGTAAATTTCCCCATTGCGGGACAAATAAAGGCTTATCTTATATATGTGTATACATGTGTATATGTATATATGCAGTCATACATAATCCATTCCAGAAGACTGTTCGAAAACCGATTTGTTCGAAAACCGAAACCACGCTTTTTAAAAAAAAGACATCTTGATTGAACACGTCTGTTCACAACGGAACGCTACACGAGGAAGTGCCACTTCCTCGTCTACCCGAGGAAGCGTCACTTCCTCGTGTAAGGAAGGCGAGAGGAGTCAAGTGACACATTCAGGTGCGCTCAGTTTGTTCGAGAACCGAAATTCGGTCGTCATCCGAGGCATAAAAAAAACTCAAAATTTTCGGTTGAAAATCGATTTAGTCGAGAACAGAGACGTTCGAAAACCGAGGTTTGACTGTATATACGGTAGGAGTTGAAAAGTTTCGACTTCTTCCTTGTCCTGTGTGTATGCTATGTTTTGCGATGCTTTTTATTCTTTCTTTCATATTTTTGTTTTTTCTTTTTATAAATGTTTGAGAAAAAAATCCCTCATTTATCGTCCATTTGAGTCTCCTAAATACAAAGCCAAAGAAAAGAATTTTGAGCTCGGCAAGTCCTAAAATTCACAAATTAAGTCTGACTCAGGTCAAGCCGTGACGCGAGTCACACAGCTCTATTTTCCAGTCAACAATGGAACCCCACATTGTTTGTGCCTGTGGATTCACTGATTCAGAGATTTTCAATATTTAAAAAAAACCCTCATATTTGGGGGAAGGGAGGTTGGAGGTTTTTGGGAGATCTAACTCCTGGTTTTCAAAGAAAATGCATTTGTGAGGTTTTTGAGGTTTTTCAGCAATGTTTGAATAATTTTGGTGTTTAAATTTTGGCCCCCAAATCGCCCCCAGCCCTCTTTATTCTCTTTTTCCATATTATTCCCGGCATCAGTGTGATTTTAATCTGGAATAATCTGATGAATACACATGTATGTTGGCAACGGATAAAGCGCATTTTATTTGTGTGTTCATAGGTCTTCACGAAGTCAGGTGCTAATCAGCGTCTGTTGAGTAGAGCACTGTATCTTAAAAGCTCCCTCGAAGCTTCCCTGCTGAAATTGAGGAAGTTGAACATTGACTCTCAGAACAGAGTTAACAAAACGGTGAGTTAACATTTTGTCCATTTTGTGAAAGTTGATTTTAAATGTGACTTTGAATGATGAGTTAATTATATTATTTTTTTCTAAAACACTGATGACTTGACTCTAGATGTAGTGGTTCTCAAACATTTTACACAAAGTATCACCCAATTAATGTTTAGTTGTCAAAGCACCACCCTTCTGGCCAACATTAAAATTCTGTGGCGCAGAGATTTCATTTCTAAAAGGGATATTTAACATTATTATAAGACACTTAACATGCAGTTTGAACATAAAAACATACTTTGGTTAAACATAGGGAAAAAAAAAATCATGGTTCGATTAAACTTTAATTCACATAACAGTAAAATAACAATGTACAGTACTAAATACTTTTAAACAAACAATTCTGAAAGATTAAATGCAAAATGATTGCATAAATTAAAAATATAACTGCACTTTACTTTGGCTGTAATCCTTTAGTATACCGCTAGAGGGAGCCTGCAGACCACCAAACTTTGAAATCATTGCTTTGATGGATAAACCACAAGTATTTATTTTCTCTGCATGTTCACCTTCCCACCTTGCACATTGTAATATAGGAACCTCCAAAATGCAACACAATCTGGCTCAAAATCAATGTACATTTTTTTTCTAGCTAAAACAAAAATAGATCATTATGGTGTCAATGCTGAAGAGGATTCCACATTTCTCAATCAAACTTCCAAATATTCATAAAATTTTAGACATTCAGGGAACTATTTTCCACATTCCAAAATTTCCCAGCTGTCCCACAACCCCACATTTTCTTCATGAATTAAAAAACAGCAAGAAGCAAATACATTTATGTGAATGGACAACAAAAAAAGCTCATCTTTCACATTCTAACTTTGAGCGCTTGAGCTCATTCAAACCATCTTGGGAACTATTTTTCACTATTCCACATTTTTCATGACATTATTCTCAAATCAACGCAGTAATTTTACATGATTACTTGGTCCTTTCACATCTTGTGACAAATTCAAACCATTCAAATTTACCTCAATTTACTGCTGAGCTCCTGCAGGATCAATCGCTTTGTCTGACGCTCTGTCGATCAATCTGTCTACACATACAACCCCCCCCCCCCCCCCACACACACTGGCAACCGATTCAGGGTGTCCCCCGCCTACTGCCCGAAGACAGCTGGGATAGGCTCCAGCACCCCCCGCGACCCTAGTGGGGATCGAGCGGTTCGGAAGATGAATGAATGAATGAATGAATGAAAAAGAACTGTCACCTAAAACAGTGTTTTTCAAACCCTGTTTGGTGTGCCACGGGATATTGTCAGGTGTGCGATGGGAAATGATGTATGCCTGTGTGGTCTATCGCCTGGCAGAGTAATCGTGTAGTATTCTTCCATACTGGTAGGTAGCAGTTGCAGCTAGCTAATTGCCTTATGCTTCGAGACAAGCGAAGTTTCCGGCATGAGGGAATACAACGAAAGCTATCTTTCGTTTAAATTTACTTTTACCGGAGATGCAACGGCACCGACTCCGTTGTGCTTGGTATGTGGTGAAACAGCACTAATGTCTCAAGTAAGCTTAAACTCTACTTATAATTCTACTCATTCTTGCTTGGCTCTCGACGAAGGCGGAAGCTTTTGCTTCTGCTCCTGTCCCACCCCCCCACCGTTCCCTGCTCGCCACTCAGTCCATGTGCTGTCTTTGTCTGACTTTTCCTAGCCTCCTGTCGTATTTTTCATCCTAAAAACAAACATGGAATTGGTTGGCTGGTCTCTCGATGCCATCAACAAAATTTTCTCGACGAGAAGAGCAGGCAGTGGGGAGACTACTTGCCCCTTGGGGACTTTTGCTGCTGGGTACACCCTAGATACTTGGAGGAAGCGGAGAATGGTGTGCCTGTCAATACCGTCCGTTGAGGAGGAGGAAGACATCTACATTATCGGACTTTCTGATAGCAGGTATGCTGCTGTTTGGTGCTATCAGTTTTTTCCTGACCTATTGTAAAATTCAACCGACGGGAGCGGCTTTATTGGAAGTGAAGAAGCTGCCGATCTTTTTTTTGTTGGGGACGGCACGGCGCGGATGTACAACACTCAGACTCAAGCGATGACTGAGCTCAACCGCAAAATGGATGCAGTTTTGGAGCGTCTCTGCATGATGGTTTTCAACTTGAGAAGTTGAAGCTGTGCTTTGGAAAGTAATTGCGGATTTGGCTGATCGACGCCAGTGAAGGGATACAGCCACGGACTCAAGGCCACCTGAAATTGTTGGCAGCTGTCCCCAAACAACGCTATTTGGACCCCTTTCCCCTGGATGGAAGGTATGCACGGAAGCTAGTGCCCCCACCATCACACCCTCCTTCTCGGCCATGGACTGATAAGCTGGGACTGTCTTCATGAGCAGACCTTGACGAAGCAGCTGCGGCCTGTTCACGCATACACAACCAGACAATCACACGCGCATACACATCTTTATCATCACCGTCTTCATCGTTCCTATTCTTTTCCCCCGCAACGTGGAATGATCTGCGGAGCGCTCGGTGGACCGTGCAGCTAGTCAGACGGGCCGCGTCGCGGTCGCCCCCTCTCTCCTCCCCCTCCCCCTTCCCATTCATCCGCCCCCTCATTACATGTTATGTCTTGTGACTTGTTGTAACTGTCATATGCTTATTTATGTGCTCGGGTCTTTTTTTATCCTGGACTTAAATTATCCTCAGAAGAAGATAGGTCGAGCGTGTTTTTTTTTTTTTTTTCCCTCTCCCTATACCTTGTGGTTTCCTTTCTGAACTCTTACTGTAAATTTCCCCATTGCGGGACAAATAAAGGCTTATCTTATATATGTGTATACATGTGTATATGTATATATGCAGTCATACATAATCCATTCCAGAAGACTGTTCGAAAACCGATTTGTTCGAAAACCGAAACCACGCTTTTTAAAAAAAAGACATCTTGATTGAACACGTCTGTTCACAACGGAACGCTACACGAGGAAGTGCCACTTCCTCGTCTACCCGAGGAAGCGTCACTTCCTCGTGTAAGGAAGGCGAGAGGAGTCAAGTGACACATTCAGGTGCGCTCAGTTTGTTCGAGAACCGAAATTCGGTCGTCATCCGAGGCATAAAAAAAACTCAAAATTTTCGGTTGAAAATCGATTTAGTCGAGAACAGAGACGTTCGAAAACCGAGGTTTGACTGTATATACGGTAGGAGTTGAAAAGTTTCGACTTCTTCCTTGTCCTGTGTGTATGCTATGTTTTGCGATGCTTTTTATTCTTTCTTTCATATTTTTGTTTTTTCTTTTTATAAATGTTTGAGAAAAAAATCCCTCATTTATCGTCCATTTGAGTCTCCTAAATACAAAGCCAAAGAAAAGAATTTTGAGCTCGGCAAGTCCTAAAATTCACAAATTAAGTCTGACTCAGGTCAAGCCGTGACGCGAGTCACACAGCTCTATTTTCCAGTCAACAATGGAACCCCACATTGTTTGTGCCTGTGGATTCACTGATTCAGAGATTTTCAATATTTAAAAAAAACCCTCATATTTGGGGGAAGGGAGGTTGGAGGTTTTTGGGAGATCTAACTCCTGGTTTTCAAAGAAAATGCATTTGTGAGGTTTTTGAGGTTTTTCAGCAATGTTTGAATAATTTTGGTGTTTAAATTTTGGCCCCCAAATCGCCCCCAGCCCTCTTTATTCTCTTTTTCCATATTATTCCCGGCATCAGTGTGATTTTAATCTGGAATAATCTGATGAATACACATGTATGTTGGCAACGGATAAAGCGCATTTTATTTGTGTGTTCATAGGTCTTCACGAAGTCAGGTGCTAATCAGCGTCTGTTGAGTAGAGCACTGTATCTTAAAAGCTCCCTCGAAGCTTCCCTGCTGAAATTGAGGAAGTTGAACATTGACTCTCAGAACAGAGTTAACAAAACGGTGAGTTAACATTTTGTACATTTTGTGAAAGTTGATTTTAAATGTGACTTTGAATGATGAGTTAATTATATTATTTTTTTCTAAAACACTGATGACTTGACTCTAGATGTAGTGGTTCTCAAACATTTTACACAAAGTATCACCCAATTAATGTTTAGTTGTCAAAGCACCACCCTTCTGGCCAACATTAAAATTCTGTGGCGCAGAGATTTCATTTCTAAAAGGGATATTTAACATTATTATAAGACACTTAACATGCAGTTTGAACATAAAAACATACTTTGGTTAAACATAGGGAAAAAAAAAATCATGGTTCGATTAAACTTTAATTCACATAACAGTAAAATAACAATGTACAGTACTAAATACTTTTAAACAAACAATTCTGAAAGATTAAATGCAAAATGATTGCATAAATTAAAAATATAACTGCACTTTACTTTGGCTGTAATCCTTTAGTATACCGCTAGAGGGAGCCTGCAGACCACCAAACTTTGAAATCATTGCTTTGATGGATAAACCACAAGTATTTATTTTCTCTGCATGTTCACCTTCCCACCTTGCACATTGTAATATAGGAACCTCCAAAATGCAACACAATCTGGCTCAAAATCAATGTACATTTTTTTTCTAGCTAAAACAAAAATAGATCATTATGGTGTCAATGCTGAAGAGGATTCCACATTTCTCAATCAAACTTCCAAATATTCATAAAATTTTAGACATTCAGGGAACTATTTTCCACATTCCAAAATTTCCCAGCTGTCCCACAACCCCACATTTTCTTCATGAATTAAAAAACAGCAAGAAGCAAATACATTTATGTGAATGGACAACAAAAAAAGCTCATCTTTCACATTCTAACTTTGAGCGCTTGAGCTCATTCAAACCATCTTGGGAACTATTTTTCACTATTCCACATTTTTCATGACATTATTCTCAAATCAACGCAGTAATTTTACATGATTACTTGGTCCTTTCACATCTTGTGACAAATTCAAACCATTCAAATTTACCTCAATTTACTGCTGAGCTCCTGCAGGATCAATCGCTTTGTCTGACGCTCTGTCGATCAATCTGTCTACACATACAACCCCCCCCCCCCCACACACACACACACACTCACAAGGCTCAAAATACATATATTTTTTTTCTTTGAAGAGCACTTTGTGAATCAACAACTTCATTTGAAGAGCAACTTTCTAACTTTGTGGAGCATTTTTTTGGGGGCACATTAATCCCAGGGAACTCAAGCAAGGATTTAATTAAACAATAAAATATAACAATACAATGAATGAACATAAAACAATTGTTTTTTATCCTTAAATTAACATGGTATACAACAGTAAACTTTATTTTCTTGTCTAGAAGCTAAATTTATTTTAAAAAGCTTCGCTGTAATGAATTCTACAAAGTCAAATTTATTTAAAGTTTTTTTTTTTTTTACTCTTCATAAAGATCCCCCCAAAAAGTATTTAAAAAACGGTTAAATGCAAGCAATTGAAAATAACGGCATCTAGAGAACTTTTTATAGATAAGATTGGCAATGAGCAGTGCAGGGCGGCACGGTGTTCGACTGGTTAGCATGTCGGCCTCACAGTGCAGAGGTGCAGGGTTTGATTCCAGCTCCAACCTACCTGTGTGGAGTTTGCATGTTCTGCCCTTGCATGTGTGGGTTTTCTTCGGGTACTCCGGTTTCCTCTCACATTCTAAAAGCATGCATGGCAAGTTAATGGAACACTCTAAATTGTCCCTGCGTGTGTGAGTGGAAGCGCGGATGTTTGTTTATGTGTGCCCTGCGGTTGGCTGGCAACCACTTCAGAGTGTCCCCCGCCTACTTCAGAATGATAGGCTCCAGAACGCCCCGCGATCATTGTGAGGATAAGCGGATTAGAGAATGGATGGATGGATGGATGGAGAACTGCTTCCACATTGAGTAGCTGATCTGTGTGTCCAGATACCCATCCTTTTCCTGCTTTCCCACAGATTTTTCACTATTCCTGAAAGTTGACTCTGCGCTGTGAGTTCTTACTGCCTCAAAGCATTCGGCTGCTGCAGTCAGTGGCGAATTGACAATTAGTCTTAGGCAATTTGAAAGTGGAAAATGTGGGCGCTTTTGAAAATGAACACGAGAACTGCTTCCAATACCCATCACTACTTTGGACGGTCAGCCTTTCATTCTCAGCTGTTTTTTAATATGTAATAATGAGGCGCAAAATATGAATTTTGATGCAAAAACAGCAATGCAAACCTTGATGTACCTTCCAGCATTAATGGTGCCTTCACAGAGGTGTATGTTACCCATGCCATTGGCACTAAACACAGCCCCATATCATCACAGATGTTGGCTTTTGAACAGATGTTGGTTGTGTCCATAACAGTTGTTTCTTTTCCTCTTCAGCCCGGAGGATTCCAGACCTCTGTGGGTACCGTATTTTCCGCACTAAAAGACGCACTGGATTATGAGGCGCACCTTCAATGAAGAGCTTATTTTGTAAATTTTTTTCATACATTGGACACTTCGCATTATAAGGCGCAATCGACAATGCCTCCACTAGATGGTGTTACGCTCCTTCCATTCAACTCGAGAGGAGTCTGTTCAACTTGAGAGGCGTTCATGACCGCCTCTGAAAAACGTAAATTAACTATTACTGTACTTAAATGAAACTATGAAAATTGAAAATAATGCATCAAAACAGAAAATCAAGCGAGGAAATAACAAAATAAATTCTGTATCCCCCCCTACAGAATTTATTTTGTGATTTCCTCTCTTGATTTTCTTCGTGGTTTCATTGAAGTAAAAATTAATTTATGTTTTTCGGAGGCGGCCATGAACGCCTCTCGAGTGGAACGGAAGTAGAGAAGGCACGGAGATGGACAAAGACGTACAGTACCTGTATTTGTTGAGACTGTGAAAACCACTAATAAAGTCTGCTTTAAAAAAATAAATAAATAAACCACAGCTCTCCTTTTTTCAACAAATGCGTCTTTGTCCGTCCCCGTGCCTTCTCTTCTTTCGTTAAACTCGAGAGGCGTTCATGACCGCCTCCAAAAAGGGCATTGCCATTTCCTTAATCATAGCTCCAACAAAACTATCAGACGTAAGTAGTCGTTATTTATTCCTTTGTTGTGTATTCACAAATGATGAAATCACAATATAAATTCTGTAGGAGGGGCTATAGAATTTATTTTGTGATATCCTCGCTTGCTTTTCAGTTTTGATGTATTATTTTAAATTTTTGTGGTTTCATTGAAGTAATCGTTAGTTTACGTTTTTCGGAGCCGGTCTTGAACGCCTCTCGAGTCGAACGGAAGAAGGCACAAAGACAGACAAAGACGTACCTGTATTTGTTGAGACTGTTTCAAAAAATTAACACCACAGCTCTCCTTTTTTTCGGAACTGCAACACAAACTTATTTAATAAAGCAGCGACACAGTTCACTGAACCAACAGCAAATGAGAACAATGGAAGCATGTCTCCAGGAAGGAGCCATCTTGGAGTCGACGTATTACCGTAATGACCATACACAAGACGCACCGGATTTTAAGGCGCTCGGTGAGCTTTTAAGAAAATGGAAGAATTTTTGGTGCGCCCTATAGTGCGGAAAATACGGTAATTAAAAATGTTTGGAGTTATTTTTTTTTTTTGTCCAATCAGATTTAAGCTTCGTTGCACATATTATTTCCCCACACCTTCTGGACCTTGATAGCATGTGTCGAACACACACACACACACACACACACACACACACACACACACACACACACACACACACACACACACACACACACACCACTGAAGTCGCTGATTCTTCTTTAAGCCAGTCAGATTGTAGATTCACTCGCAGGCCCTGTTACGAGTGAGTTTATCCATCCTCTCATTGGTTCCGCTACTATGGCTTGTGATTGGTTCGGCTCTATGTGCTGCCAGAGTTTGATTTATGATGGATGACGGATCAGACCATGATTGAATATTTGAAGCTACCACTGAAAAGATTGCCTTCAAAATCTTAATATGTCCTCTTTTTCCGATTTCACTCATTTTGACAACCAGAACTTGGTTTTGGAAGTGTCTGCGTCTGGTACAGGGTGTCTTGAATCTGTGCAGGGTATAGTGAAATTCCAAGATTATCAAGGTATTCTTGAGAGAAATGTCAGGATATCTCCTGAGTTGGCAGCATTTTGTTTTGTGATATGGTGTCTGTTATTTTTTGTGTGGACCTGTTGTGGACCATTTTCAGGACATTCGTTGAAGGAGAAGAATCTTTGCTTGATGGCTGCGGTTTCTCGGCAGCACGTGTTTACCAGCACTGATTTTGATAGGGGAATGTCAGCGCTTTTTGACCGTCGCAGCTCGACAGCCCGATGATGCTTGTGTTTTTTGCGCCTGCAATGGGCAGCAATTTTCACAGCCCCATTCAGCAGAGATGTTGGCACTTTTGGACAGCCTTAGTGCGGTTGGATGGATGGCTGGTGGAGTCAAGGATGAGGAGAAAGGAGAGAGGAGCGTCGGCGCGGAACACAGACACGTATTTGGAACTGAGAGTTAGTTAAGTCCATCCATTCATTTTCCGATCCGCTTCATCCTCACTCACAAAGGTCGCGGGGGGGGGGTGCTGCAGCCAATCCCAGCTGTCTTTGGGCAGTAGGAATGGCACACCCTAAACCAGTTGCCAGCCAATTGCTGGGCACACAGAGACGAACAACCATTCGTGCTCACATTCACACCTAGGGACAGTTTAGAGTGTTCAATTAGCCTGAAATGCATGTTTTTGGAATGTGGGAGGAAACCAGTGTACCCGGAGAAAACCCACGCAGGTAGCGGGGGAACATGCAAACTCCAAACAGGAAGGCTGGAGCTGGAACTGAAACCTGCACCTCTGCACTGTGAGGTCAGCACGCGAACCACTGGACCACCGGGCCGCCAGTTACTTAAGTATCCCATAAAATTGAGGGGATCATTGACTGGTTAGCATATCCGCCTCATA